CTCACAAAGCTAGCAAGCATTTGAGGCCAGGTTTGAACTGAGGTCTTCCTAACTCCAGGCCTGGCACTCTACCTACTGTATCACCTAGCCAGTATCCCTTTGATCTGAAGAGACATCATGGCATAATGGATAGCAAGCTGGCCTCAGAACCAGGAAGACCTGGATTGAAGTCTGGACTCTGATGGAGATTGGCTGTGATGACCTTTAACAATTGCTTTAACAGGCTATGGTCAGCTCTAATGCTTGCAGCGAAGGTACCACCCACCTCCTTGGGGAGCTCCCTATATCAATTAAATCTCATATTCAACCCCACCAACCTACCTATTTCATCTTTACACTTAGACATGCGCTAGTGGACTGTCACCAAAGCATAAAACTTTATTCCTGTCTTAGTTTCTTCAATACTACAGAAAAAAAATTCCTATTCATATCATGGCCTTCCATAAAAAGCCAATTTTCCAGTTGAGCTAACTACGCAAGTCCTGTGGGGAAGTTTACCATCTGGTACTTGCCCTTAGCCACCAGCAGGTAAGGAGATAGCACCTGCCATGACTCAATTTTGCTGGGGGCTCAGTTGTGAGAAAGTTCCTTCTCCTCCCACCCCCAGTGCATGATTCTTCTCACACTAACCTGATATTCCACAGAGGGATGATGCTGTCAAATCTTGTGCAGTAGAAACATGGGAACTCTGATTCTGGAACTGATCCTAGGCACCGCTTCCTTGAATTATTCTAATCTGCAAGGAATAATTCTTGGAAGCTGCAAAGATGCAAATTTAAGATTGATATAAACATGTAATCAATCAGTCAGTAAAATACTAATTAAGTAGCGATTATATTCCAGACTCTGTGGATAAAAGGACAAAGAAAGAGTCTCTGTTAGTCAGTCAATTAGCATTTATTTAATATCCAGTTATGCACCAAGCACTTTTAGAAGCACTGGGGATACAAAGAAAGGCAAAAAATAGACAGACCCTGCTCTTGATGGGCTAAGAAGAGAAACAACAACTACGTACAAATCCAGATAAATATATATATATATATATATATATATATATATGTGTGTGTGTGTGTGTGTGTGTGTGTGTGTGTGTGTGTGTATATATATATATATGAAAATTGGAGGCAATCTCAGAGGGAAGGCACTAAGATTAAGAACTGGGAAAGGCTTCTTGTGGAAGGTGGGATTATAGCTGAGACTTGAAGTACTAGGCACTGTGCTAAGTACTAAGGATACAAAGAAGGTCAAAAAACAAACAAACAAACAAACAAAAACAAGTTCCTGTCCTCAAGAAGTGTTTTGTTGTTTAGTCATTTTTCAATCTTGTCCAACTCTTCATGACCCCATTTGGGGTTTGCTTGGCAAAGAAACTGGAGTGGTTTGCGATTTCTTTCTCTAGCTCATTTTACAGATGAGGAAACTGAGGCAAACAGGGTTAAGTGACCCAGGGTCACACAGCTGGTAAGTGTCTGAGGTGGGTTTTAAACTCAAGTCTTTCTGACTCCAGGCCTGGCACTCTATCCACTGTGCCACCTAGCTGTACACATATAAGCACATACAAAGTAAACAATTCAAGATGGCCCAAAGTGGAATGAGGAACCTTAGATGGGAGTAAATTTCCTCTCACTTGAACATTTCAAGCAAAAGCTTCTACTCGTCTCTTCAATAAATCTGTGTTAAAAAAAAAAAACTTCCCATGAAGCTGTATTAATCTTTTCAGACTCAACCTCTCATGTCATCAGTTGCAATTATATTATTTTTGAAAATTAGGTATACCTTTTCATATGCATTTCCTCTTATGATCTCAGGTCATGGGACCATTATTTCTTTGAATTTTAAAAAGACTGACTTTCCTAAAGTGTAGGACACATATATGGTTATGCCCAATATTCCCATATCCTTTCCTTAGCAATTGGGAATCCTTAGCATAACCTGGTCACTTTCTCAATTACTTCCATTTCATCAACCATTCTTCTTTTCTGATCAAAATTTATTTCTAGAGTAGTAATCCACCTTGGTTAATTCTTCAACCTTCTGAAAGAGAAAAATTTTAATTAATTATGTCAAAAATCTTAACAAATGCTCTGTTTTTAACAGAATGTAATTTCTAGATGATATTCATTTGAAGTCTCATGTCACTACTTCATTTTCCCTTTGAGCAAGTTTTATAATCTTTATCAGGGAAGTATAATAAAAATCCAAAATAATCCTATTATTTAGCACTTGTTATGTTTAATGTATTGCTAGTCACAAACAATATGAAGACAAAATGAAAAACAGTTCCTGATATCAAGGACCTTGCATTCTAGCCTCTGTGTAGCCTGGAAATCTGTTTTCTAAGGGCAATTTATCTTTTCTATATATGGATTTTTAATTTTAAAAATTCCTTATCACTTTCAAATATTAAGTACAAGTTTTTCAAGATGATATAGAATGATCAAAGGTGATCACTAGTTGTGACTTGACCTGGCCAATCCATTTCCTAAATTGAACAGTTTTTCTTTTTTAATGATTTGGGTCTAGACCAAGATCATGGCTATAATAAGGTTTGGACTCTTCTTATCCACTAAATTTGTATTTGTGAAGGCCCTCAACTAAGAGACCTTATGCATTACCTTCCATGCATTACCTTCCATTCTACCACATGTATCTGAAATCACATCAGAAGCTTCCTAGGTAATTCTAACTCATATTCACTCAGGAACAAATCTAAAAACAATAAGATGCCTGTTGTCAGATATAGACCTATATTGATAGGCTTTGAAGAGATGAAAGCTGTGTGCCAAAATAAAGAGGGTTCACAACTATCCATGGTACTGAATTGAACCCTAGCGAGTAAGGGAGAGTTAGGATATTCTCCTGATAGTGGTAATTAGTGGGATAAGTGTGGCTGGAAGCTGATTCTTAGGTGTCAAGAATAAAGTACAAAATGTACAAAGAATGAAACGTGGGTGGAAAGAGTGCTAGAGTTGATCTTGAAATCATTTGTTTTGTGTGTTAAGGAGAGAAAATGATTAGTTTGTTGCTGTGTGTAGATAGCAGAAGAATGAGTCCCGGAAAATGTGTTAGGAAGCATAACTGGATAAATGAGTAGAACAAGGCTTGTGTGGAACCTCCTGGCATTTTGACAGTCTAGAGTAGGGATCTTGTGCCTAGATTTTTGAGAGTTTTGATAGAGTGGGTATAGGAGCTAGTAGAGAGTGATATTCTTTACTAGTGCCTTGAGCTCTAAGACTATGCCTTTCAGAGAGCAACATTAGCCTTTTAGGAACTGTGATGGGAAATCCTGCCAGGTGAAGGTACCTAATTGTCATACTTCTGAACTTCCAGTCACCTCCACCCAAAGAAAAGTAGAGTCTGGGAAACACAATTGAACCTGTAGCTTGGGAGATTAGTTTCTTCTGAATGTGAGTGACACATATGAGTCTGTCACATAACCATAATTTTTATTTCTACATATAATAGCAGCATCAACAAAATTAATGCATTTTAGACATTGCAATGAAGTCCAAATGATGATATATTAGTCTGAGTGCTATTATATAATTCATTCTGAAATAGTCCATATTTTCATACTCAGAAACTGATGCAAGTTCTATTCTGTCTGAGATTTTATAACTGTTCCTGAAGGCCATGTTGTACTTGTTTCCTGTGTTGGAAGCTTATCACTTCTCTTTAGCCAAAAGTTCTGACCCAAACTGTTGGGTTTTGTTTTTGGTATTGGTTTTTGTTACTGTTGTTTGGTTTGGTTTGGTTTTTAACCACAAAAATTCCATAATATCTAAGTAACAAGCCCTACTACACAATTTGAAGCCTCTGCATACATTTCATAGTGAAAAATTCTAAAGAGAAATTTTACCTTGATATTTCAAGGCAATGCTTCTTTAAAGATGAATTTTCTTCCTATAGCTGAAACAGGGCAAGTGTATGAGTTGACTAAAGAAAGTGGTGACAGTTTGGATTATACCATTTACATACTTATCTGTCCTGATATAAATTGATTTATCATACCAGATCCATAAGACCAATATAAATTGGATACAGGGTACAGAGCAAACTACTAGATTTTAAGCTTGAATTTTTACTGCATTTGACTTTGTCTTTCCATTTTTCATAACTTGGGTCTTTTAGAATTGTATAACATATTTACTATATTTGGATGTAATCATATCCTTCAGTTTAAACCTATCCTTTTGACGTCATTATATTTGAAATCAATCAATGAATTCATGACCATTGAGAAATATTCTGCTCATTTCCACATTTCTGTCATTACCAGCCAACTCATTTATAAAAATGCTATGAATCATAGAGTCATACAGTGCAAGCACAGCCAATTTTTTTTTCCTTCTCAGTCAGTCAATAAGCATTTATTAAACACTTCTTATGTGCCAGGCACTGTGCTAAGCACTGGAGATGCAAAGAAAGGCAAAAGACTCCTGCCCTTGAGGAGCTCACACAATGCCTTAAGGTAACAGCAAGGAGTTCTTGGATTCTCAGTGGCTGTACCTATTAAAACATGAGCTCTGACAAGTGTTAACAGTAATGGGATTATGTAGCTATTGTCTAAAGAACAGCCAAGCTAAGTTCAAAGATGCTTACCAAGATAAAGCTAACCACAAAGTAAAGAACGTTTATTTTTTAACTAAAATAAGCCCTTAAATCCTATTAGGTACAAAGAGTTACAATATGTATGGGTGAAAAGACTACCAGTATAAATGAAACCAGAGGCCTTTATATTGCAGCTGGGGGCACTGATGACCAATGTCTGACTCTATCCAATAGAGACTCAAGTGCTGTCAATCACATGCTCATCTCCATTTGTGATGTACATTTGTTGTTGCTTAGTGGTTTCAGTCCTGTCCAACTCTTCGTGATCCCATTTGGGGTTCTCTTGGCAAAGATGCCATTTCCTTCTCCAGCTCATTTTACAGATGAGGAACTGAGGCAAACAGGGTCGAATGACTGTCCAGGGTCACATAGCTGGTAAGTGTCTGCGGTCAGATTTGAACTCAGGTCTTCCTGACTTCAGGCCTGGCACTCTATCCACTGTGCTACCTAGCTGTCCATTATGTACATTACCACATGACACAAAGTGAAACCCCAAACTTGGCTCTCAGAAAGTTAGCTGTCTCTCTTTCCTTCCTCAACCCATTTATGAGAGGTACCACTTGCTCAATTAGTCTAGGATTGCTTATGTGTGAATTATCCAATTGGATTCTGGACTACTAGGAAAACTTCCATCTTTTGTTCCTCTTCTGTCTCCTAATTATTCAAGCCTCCATGCATAGTTAGGAAAAAATGTTTAATCAAGGTGATAATAACATAATAAAACTGAAGTATCAATGATTACAAGATTTAATTCTCATTCAACCATTCATACAATCAATTTGATCTCCCAAGTCCAAGTCACTTTGTTCCATCTGACACCCCAAGCATAGATGAGGTAGAGGGGAGACATCTGAAGCTTGGATGACCCATCTACCCCTTCACAACAGAATACTAAGAATCTGCCTGGTCTGGGACTTAGTTCAACTCTTCACAGGGACTAGTCTCAACTGCCTCCTCCTGACAGGCCTCCGTTTCTCCCTAAGCTCAGTTGTACTTACTGACTACACTTCATTCAGGCTCATGCCCAAAAAAGTAAGTAGCCTCACTGTTAAAATCTTAACAACAGTAGACTATCTCTTTGTGAATTGCCATTTTCATCTCTCTTCCTCTCCAACTTCAGAAAGCCCCCTAACCACCCTGCTGCCATTTCACTGTTCTCTAGTCTTTCATTCCCTCAGGTGAAATGAATCTCAGGAGATAAACCAAACATACGAAACTAGGGCAGAATGTCAATATGCCCTGATGGCAAGTACCTGATAGACTTAAAACATTATGCATCTCTCTCATGCATCACTGACATAAGGGGATAAAATGGGAGGGGAAATTAGTGTCTTACATCATAATCCTGACAATGCCACAAGCCCTTGAATAATTACAGTTATCAGGGCAAGAAGATGTACTGAAGATGGACTAGGGCAAGTTCATGCCTATGGGAAGTAAATGTGTCACTTGATTTAAGTTACAGGAAGAGGTCCCTAATGTCTTTATAAATATGATATCAATATGCCGCCAACAGTGTCACACCTTCAGTGTGCAAATACTACCTCTGAGAACGATTGATGGGCAAGCCCTTCCAAATTAAAGGAACAGAGGTTCTTTACCATTGATTGGAGTAGATAATTACTCCTCAGACGTGTTGCAGTTTGTAATCCTAGCTCCTTAACTCCCAGCTATGTCTTCTCAGCATCCCTATCTCTAATTGCTACTCAAAAAGTATAATCACATTGAGACTTGTGCTGCTACCACAGGGAAAGCTGGTTGGTTGGTTTGTTTTTTAATCTCCAACAGCATGGAATTCCTTCAAACATTACTTCAGTCAGTGAGTCCTTGAAGCATTTCCTCAGCCAGCCCTGCACACAATGGCCTTTCTCCCAAACTAATTTTGTTGCTGACATATTGGAAACCTGACATCACCCAGTCTTATCATAGCCTGCAGGAGAATAGCAGTAAATGTGGCAGTAATGCTCTGACCCAGCCTCATGGGAGATGGTGTTCTGCCATTTGAGGTGAGGCAACACAAACTATTGGTATTTGTGAACCACTTTACTGATGGGCCTGACCTTCAACCTGAAATGAGAAAAGTAGGAAAGTTTAATTACTCACAAACAGAAATCAAGAACTCAATGCATCCTACATCTTTACTGTTCATTCTTACTTGAGACCTTCATCAAATAATTTTTTCTCCTTGTGCCTCAATTTGTTTACTTGCAAGATGAGGCCAGCAATATTTATACTAACTGGCATTCGTGTGGCAGTATTAAGAGCCAGTCTAGTGTAATGAATTGGGTTCTGAGCTTATAGTCAGGAGCATCTGGATTCAAATCCTGTTTTAGACATAGACTAGCTGGTAACCTTGGTTAAGTCATTTAATGTCTCTGAGTTTCAGTTTCTCCATCTATAAAATTAGGGGCTTAGACTCAATTGCTCCAGATCTAAATCTAAAAATTCACTAACTGTGTAACCCTGAGCAAGTCACTTATGTCAGTATATGCCTTTGGCAATTCCTAAGGCTTTATCTACTAAGTCATAGAGGGATCACAATATCTAAAATCATCTTTCATGTATGTAGCATGTATATCATCTCTTTACAGTATGTAGCACAGTGGCCTGCACATTTCATAATTTATAAAATTTTTAATTCATTAATTCACTCATTCATTCATTTCATACTCTCAGAAACCCTGTAAGGTAGGTCCTGCACAAATTTTTATTCCCATTTTACAATGCACCCTGAATAAATCATCCACGCTCAAATCTATCTGTCAAGGCTTTAAGGTGCAAGTACTGCAACCTGAATTGTGTGTGAACTTCTCAGGAATGGATGGCTACAGCAGAAAAACAACATTCTTACAAGGTCATTCTGCTTTTGCAAATGTTGTCTAATCCTCGTTTTTCATCTTCTTTTTCTTTCAAAGACCTTTTTTGAACCTCTACCCTAAAGAGAGGTAGGGTGACATAGCACTCATGGTACCCAAGATCCCATCTTCAGCTCTAAGTTGAGGTCAATTTAGTGATCTCATCCTTCTCCCTGTGCAAATTGCCAAAACTACCATAGCCTTTGGCATATGTTGGCATATTGGGAACTCTTCACGCAGAGAGGTCCAAGATGGGGATGTAGAAGTATTCACAGCAGGTTTGAATTGAGGTATGCTTTGAGCCTCAGAGAAGCTGAGTTCTCCATTTTCATGCAATCAGTAAGTACCAACATCAGGATTCAAGCCTGGGTCTTCTTACTCTTCAAGTCCAGTGTTGAAATAAAGAAAATTTAATAACCCACTGTTTCTAGGACTGGTGATAGGGGTAGCTAAATCGCATAATGTTCCCATGTTACATGGAGTAAACACTGTGAGAAAGAGCAATGATGACATTGTGGTCAGCCTAACTATACTTTTTACTTAAGCAAAATGTTAAAGCCAAAATCAGCCCTCAGATACTAGGTGTTTTCAGTACTAGTAAACTAACTAAGAGTGGGAGAAGAGGCCGATGGGGTCTACTGTGTGGCAAGGGTGCTCATTAAGTGATCTCATGAGTACTAATTAAGTTATTTCGTGATGCCTTCTTCAATGGTGATGGAGCTCCCAGGGGGAAAAAAAAGAGAGAAAACTTGTCTGAAGAAGTTCTAGCCCTAGCACTGAACAAACTTGGAATGGCTGCTGTGCGGCCATACAGGGTTAAGAGGAAGTTAATTCACTGTCCTCAGATGCTATTTTCAACTACCCCACCCACCTTCTTTCCAATCAGATGCACCAAAATCCATGTGTCTTAAATTTTTCCCAAATGGTATGATGAAGCAGAATGAGAGACAGTCAAACTGTTTTTCAGAAATTAATTTTCACATGCTTCAGCCTGGAGTCTTTTTTTAGATTAGACTTTGTTTGTTTGTATTCACACCAGAGAATGGTTGTCTTCTGGAGGAAAAGTCCAGTGTTTCAAACGTGAGCTCATGGTCTATGACATGAAAAGAAAAGAAAATAATGATAAATCACAGATGCTTTTCTATTGGCATCCCCATGTCTTACTTTTGTCTCGTATAGTAGTATCTCTGCGTTCATCTGTAGCTCCTTCCACGCCACAGGCAAGCTTATTGTAAACCAGATGATTCATCTCATTCAGCACATTTTCCGCCACTGTAAATGTTTGTAAAATGAAAAGAAAGACAGAGACACCCTTTCCTCTTACATCAAAAGCATTTCATGGTTGTCATGCTTGCGCCTCATTTTTCTGCAGTCTCTATTTTATTCTCTATGGGCCAAGGACACAGAGCTCTACCCTTTAAGAGGCACTCACTATTGATAGGAACAAAAGGCTTATCTCCAGAACCCTCTAGCTTCTGAAACACCCTCCCCTTTCCCACTGAGTGTGAGCACAAGGGGACAGCAGTCATCACTTGCAATACATTCTACATCTAAAGGAGACTTTGTTCCATCAAGGTCTCTGCCTTCTCCTATCTCTAATTGGTTCCTCAGCTACAGGCTGCCCAAGAAACACCACATGATATAATTGCTGCAAATACGAGGCTCAGCCAGATAGGGTTTAGCCAAAATAGATAAACATGAAAAATCCCCTTTTCAATGGAAAAAACTTTCCATTAATTTTTTTCACTCAATCTCGATATGTGATCATTTCCTCTTGAGCCATCCTGTGGCACCAGAATGCATAGATCTGTCAAGTATGTCTCAGCAAATTACTTCACACCAATCAGAAGAAACTCAGGATGTCTCCAACTTAGAATGTCTGGTGAGTTTCTTATTTTTCCTGGGAAAATGTCACTATCTTTGCTTCTTCAAAAATGAACAACAGATAGAGCATGAAGATATGTTAACAAAGTAGAGACTGTACTTAGCAAGAGTCCTAGAGAGAATGAAAAGAGATAGCAAATATATTTTGTCTCTTGAAAGAGGATGGAAAGAGGAAATGATTTCTGGTTTTGCATTCTTCTCTGGCTCATGCACAGTCTGATGACTATCACTTGGCCCAGCTGTGACATGATAATTCAGGTGAGAGCCCACCACAATTAATAAATTTTTTTCCTTAGGAAGAAAAGCAACATTCCCCTGGATTCCAAGCAAATGAAGGAAAAGGACTGTTGAACTAACTTCTCCTGCACCTAAAATAGCTGTTTTAAGTTCCCACTCAACTGAACTACCTTGAGAAAGTTGACTGCCATGTAGCATGCCTAAAGCTTATACCTTAGACATGACACCTCTGTTCAATAGGTTATGTGAATTTCCACTGTGCCAGGACAGTCAGTGATGCTTCCAGGGCAGGCCTTCTAGAGTTTGGGCTTCTGGACATTGGTAGTGGTTTATATGAAAACACTGATCCTCCCAACACTGATTATTATAATTGGCCAGTTTTGTGGCTTCCACAAGGTGACTTTGCTTATATTGTTGTAGCGATTGTTTAAATGTAGCTGCCACAGAATATCCATGTGGAATAGTGGGTAGAACTCCGGGCCTGAAATCAGGAAGATCTGAGTTCGCATGTAACCTCAGACGCTTCCTAGCTTCCTAGCCCTGGGCAAGTCACTTAACCTCTGCTGCCTCAGTTTCCTCATCTATAAAAGGGGGCGGGGTAATATTGTTGTGTGGATCAAATGAAATAGTAATTACGAAGCACTTGGAACAACACCCAGCACATAGTAGACACTAAAAGAGTGTTAGCTATTATTATTACTAAATGTTGCTTTAAGAATATAAGCTCCTTAAAGGCAGGGACTGTCTTCCTTTTGCATCTGTTTCCAAAAAATCTAGCATAGTACCAAGCACATTAAGGAGGTGCTTAATAAATGCAAGTTGATTAATTGATTGACTCAGAACATAGGCAAGCATCCTACTGCCACTTTTCTAACCCACTTCACCCAAATAAAAATAAAGGTTATTTCGCAAATCGCTGTGAAAATGTCTTAATATCTTCTACAGAATCCAACCCAATCTCCTTTAACAAGGTGTTTTATACATATGCTAAAATCACACAATATTCTTTCAGATGCGACTACAAAGATAACTTTGTTGAATTATATTTTGATTATTAATATGAAGTAACACATGAAGCACAGAAATGTATTTCACCAAATAATGTTTACACCATCATAGATGTCCAGCAGAAATGCCACATTGAAGATGAATTCTTTGTAAGTGAATCTCTGTAAGCATCCTCCAGATGCTTCTATATGCAATTGCATGTTAATTGCATCAAGTCCTAGAACATTGTAGAGTCCTCTAAATGACATTGAAAACTCATCAAGAGAGTTCACCCTAACAATATACATGGTACAAACACAGCATAAATTGGTGAATAGACTATTGGACCTTGAGTCAGGAAGACCTGGGTTCAAATCTTGCCTCAGATCTTTATTAGCTGTATGACCTTGTCAGTTTCCCTAATCATTCAGCCTGTAACCTCATAGGTAAAATGAAAGTGTGGAGCTTAATGGTGTCTGAGGTCCTGTCTAGCTATAAATCTATTATCCTAAACCAAAAAGGTGGAGAATGCCTAATGTCAAGCTATGATATGAAATTGGAAGGACTGCCCTTTAACTTGGTCCATAAATACATTTATCTTGTATTGACCCTGAAAATGGAACATGAGCCATACCCAGAATTGAATAAGGAGGAGAAGAATAGACCAGATTTCATTGAGAAAGGTATGCAGCACTTTTGATGATGCCAAACAACTCCTGAAACAAAAACCAATTTTTCTTAACACCAATATCCTTCTAATGATGTGATATGTCTGCAAATCATGGAATAGTATAATCTCTGAAGAATCAAAATTGAGAGTCTCTCAAAGGACAGCTAGATGGTGTGGTGTATAGAACATTGGGCTTGGAACTGGGAAGACTCATCTTCCTGATTTCAAATCTGGCCTCAGACACTTATTAGCTGTGTGACCCTGGGCAAGTCAATTAACTCTGTTTGCCTCAGTTTCTTCATATGTAAAATGAGCTGGGGAAGCAAATGGCAAACCACTCTAGTATCTTTGCCAAGAAAATCCCAAATGTAATCACAAAGAGTCAGACATGACTGAAACAATTCAACAACAAAAGAAAATGTAGAGACATATGATAGGCACAGATAGGCTAGTATAAGGATAAACAACACATTAGGCATAAGAATCATAAAAGATATCATGCCAGACATGTATGCCCTTCAAAGGAAGAGCAAAACTGAGGGATAACATGTGGAATGCCTTTGTCCTATACCTGTACTTAAGGAATGTTAAGAGACCTTAAGGATTGTGCCTAACACTTATTGAGAGTCTATGGTCCCTTCCAGCCCAAGTTCTATGATCCTATGGGCAAAGCTTTTAACTACTCTGGATTTCAGTTTCCTCATCTTGTCAAAAATAGGGATAACACAAGTATTATTATCATTATTTTGGCCTAAGTGGAGAATCTTTATTGAATTCTCACTGGATAAGGGTGGTCCTTAAAAAGTAACATCAAGGACCTTTTGAAGAGACAACATATATGGCAGATTCAACTTTCAACTTAAAAACATGTGTTGACACAAAAGTATATTTAAGAGGTGGAGTGGAAAGTTTCTGTAAGGCTCAAATGAGATAATACACATAAAAGAAAAGAAAAGGAGAAGAAGAAAAGGAAGGAAAGAAGGAAGGAAGGAAGGAAGGAAGGAAGGAAGGAAGGAAGGAAGGAAGGAAGGAAGGAAGGAAGGAAGGAAAGAAGGAAGGAAGGAAGAAAAAGAGTGGGAAGAAGGAAAGGAGAGAGGGAGGAAGAAAAAAGAGAGAGAAAGAAGGAAAGAAAGAAAATGAAAGACAAAGAAGAAAGGAAAGAAAATAAAATATTCCTATTTTTATATCTATCTTGAATGTGAATCACATTCTAGTGACATGGTTCCTCAGAATGTCTTACTTTTGGTGTCTAGCCCATTTTGCTTTTAACCAATACGACTTAGCTTGGCTCATTGATACAGAACAATCTACAGCCACCTACCTGTCTCTGAAAAGTCCCATCTTTTTCTTTGTCTGTTTCTCCTTAAAACTAGGCTTTTGCTCTCTAATGTCAAATTTCAAAAAAATATGTAAAAGGGGAGAGGAAAAAAGTTGAGGAAACTTTACTTTCAAGATCTCTCCATAGAAACCAAAATGGCTTGTAGAAATAATGGCTTCTTCGCCTTCTAAGTCTATTATTCTTCATAAGTACAAATGGCTTTTGTGACCTACAGATGCATATAATTGTGGGTGTCTGAAGTCAATGCTAGGAATGAGCTACTCTAACAGCAAAAACTATTACTTTTCTTTGTCATTACCAGACAATAATAGGGTAGAAATTCTCATAGTGGAGAAAAAAGTGAATCTTGGGTTGCTGATAGTCTAAGATGTTTGACTCTGTTGTAAATTAATCTAAAGTGTTTCTCAATTTATTATGGGTCATCATAGACTAGTGGCTTTAGCTAAAGACTAGGTGCTTTATATCAAAAGAAGATCATCCTTCAGTTCTTAGCCATTTTGCATCCTGGGCATCTATTTTCCTCCTAGAAAAAAGGGAGAATATTAATGCCTATTGTCCATATTTTAATAATATCATGAGGACAAATTATTGATTTCAATAAAATATATGCACACTTTGGTTATAGATCTTATAAATAGAGATAGAGATGTGGCCATTTGTACAATTGTATCATGATGCATTTCTCTAGTCACATACCCTTGAGCTTACAGACATTTTATACTGTTTCCCCAGCACAATTCTGTACTGATCATGGCCTGCAGCCTATGTCTGTTCACTCAAGCACTTCTGCATTGCCTTTGGAGTAATCTAAAATTTTAACATTCAGAGAGTGTGGTATTTTATGACTCAGACACAGCATAATTAGAAGATACTAAAATTTAAAAGATAAGCCTTTGTTTCAGGAGGAAGCTTGGGTTTATTATAGGAGCTATGCATTTTCCCAAAGGAAATCCAGTCTGCCTTCTTCTTGTTCAAT